ATTAAGTATATTTTGTATCTGATCTAGAACTTTTACAGAGTTCAAGGGATTTTGAAATACCTTGGCACATATAGTCACAATAATAAGACAATATGTCAAGTACAACCCCTACCTCAAAGGTCAAGGTCACACTTAGAGGTCAAAGGTTATTAGAGTTTGTTATATGGTATATATTGTGTCCCGTCCGTAACTTATTCATAGATCAAAGGAATAATATGACAATATGTCAGGCGCAAAACATGGGTCCCTACCTCCAAGGTCACACTTAGAGGTCAAAGATTAACATAGTCTGTTACAGGGTATATTTTGTGTCCGATCTATAACTTCTTTATAGTTCAAGGGATTTTGAAAATACTTGGCACAAATAGTTACAATAAGAAAGACGATATGTCATGCACAATAGGGAAGACTTAAAAAATCTTGTAAAAAACCGAAAGAGCTAGAGGTTAGATATTTAACATGAAACATCTTCTAGTAGATGTCTACCAAGTTTGTTCAAGTGAAAGCCCTAGGGTGAAAATTTGGCCGGCCCAGGGGTCATTGATTTTCCATATACATGTATGTATTTTGTAAAACTAACAAAATCTTTTTGTGAAAATCCAAAATCAATAGAGCTTAGATATTTGGTATGAAATATCTTCTAGTGGATGTCTACCAAGTTTGTTCAAACAAAAGCCCTAGTGTAAAAATTGACCCTGCCCTAGGGGTTATAATTATTTGTATATGCATTCCATTCTGCATTAACCTCCCGTTATTAAGATTAAATAAAGTTTTGCATTAATAACAAAAAAAAACAACGTTTTATTATTTCTATTTTTTAATTTATGGTTAATTAAGATATGAAGAAAAGATTTATCAAATGAAAAATAAATTTATAAATCTTCCTTAGCCTAATCAGCTTTCAAATAACTGCAGTATATATAGCGAGAGTTGAACAGCATTCGATATTTCACATTGTATATTTTAACTGTAATAACAAACACATGGCTGAAGTTGTAAATACTATAATTTACCAAAGTGAATGCAGGAATAGATATCTTGACTACATTAATTGCTTAATAGCCAAAGTTATCGGTAAGATGTAATTATTCTGTTATAATAACACTGTGTCATTTCTGTAAGTGCAATTTAAACAGCAGTCATATCCTATGTTAAGACCCTGTAACACAACTTTTTTTATGGTTTTATATCATAAATCTGATGATCTTTGACCTCTACTTTTTTTTAAATTATAGCCTTCATTTAAAAATTGGCCCTGCCCCGAGGAACATTGAATTTCCTTTGATGTATACAGTATGGTTTTTTCCAGATCTACAGAAGCTAAAGCTTAGTTTCCATAGCATCAAGTCACTTCATAGCTGCTATTTACTTAAAGATCCTGTATATAATGCTCAAATGAAGATTTATCAACATTATAGTTCCAAAAAGGATTATTTGTAAAGGTATTACATTTCATGTCAATAAAGAAAGGTAATTAGAAATAATTTATTTTCTATAAAGTCTGAGTCAATGTTTTTTAAAAAAAAATGAATGCATATATTGTTAATGATTACATATAATGTGGACACAAATTAGCAGTACATATTTAACATATTCTTCGAAGTTTGTAAATTGTTTTAGAAGCATAATTATTTTTTTTTTAAAAATATAAAACTTCACTTAAGTGTTGTAACTATCTAGATTACAACATACAGGGTTTTATAGCAAGCACACCATTTATTGTGTACAGTAACCAGTGACTTCTTGTTTGAGTAAATTTTGTCCCCCTAGCAAAAGCAAGCAACCAATAATGTTTTTACATTGGCACTATTTCAGATACAAATATGAACTTTGTGATATCAGTTTAAGATTAAGATTTTATATCTGCTTTTCTTTATAGTTTTCAATATAACTTGTTCATTGTCATGAAGGGCATTAATATAGACTTGAATTTTAAAGTGTTACAATTACTGATGCTAAATATAGCAGCTGATCTACTTTTGATATCATTTGACCTACTTTCTTGTTTTATGACATACAGACTTGAAATTTAGATTGGTCAGGATGCTTGTTTATATAATTGCTTGGATGAGTTCAAACATTGGTCATTTATGATAAAAAACTAAGTAACAGGAGCTTTCAAATCAATCAAACCGAGTCTGCAATATCATGTACTTTTGCTGTTTTTAATACTTCCGATGGCTCACTTTTTCCAGATAGTTATGGAATAATTATAAAATAAGGGAAAACGGAATCCATAAAAAACGCATAACACGACAAAAGCAAAAATTTTGCAAGCTCGGTTTGTGTGATTATCCTGTCCGTGCTTTAAGCCTGCGCTCTGTCCTATTTTTGTTTTTTGGTCCTCAAGGGGTTCTTGTCGCTGTATCTTGTTGCTGGGTCGTTTGGGTCCTTGTTGTTCTTGTTTATTATATATTTAAGTCTGTTCATGGAAGGTTCTGGAAAGTGCAAGTCAGGAAGTTTCCCCGGTACAAAATATTACAGTACAACCCGTTTAGTGCAAAGCCTTTTTAGGCAAAGATATTAGCTGAGAAATATACTCTAGAGAGGTTAAATAACAGTTCGATGTCGTCATTTCTTCATGTCTTGTACTTTACAGTATCGCCCATGAACAGGCTCAATCAAAACGAGCGAGCCTGCAACATTTTTAATTTTGTCGTCTTGGACTTACTTTTTTATTTTCTCGTTTTTATATTTTAGCATATATTAAAAATAAGGATCCCTAAAGAAAGCCCAAAACGAAAGATTAAAAATGTTGCAGACTCGGTTTGATTGAGCCTGTTCATGGACGGTACTGTCAAGTGCAAACTACCGTCCACGCCCTCCTAGTTAAGGTTGGACTGCAATGCTAAATTAACATTTCATTAGAAATAGATTGTCGGATTGGTCGAAATACGTTTTCGATATAATAAAGAGTTTTTGATTTTATTGTTGCAGTTGATGGCTATCTATATCTGATTATTTTTTGTCTTTGTTTAAGCTTAGCAAAATTAAGGTTATATGACGCCGAAACAGTAAAGACAGATTATGGCTAACCTCGTGTGTCACCAGGGGTCAAAACTACTTCACCTGCCGGAACTTAAGGATGCATATCTTCTAGTAGTTTGGATCCATCAAGTCGCCTGTTACAATCACGCAGTGATAAACAGTAGAATTCCGATGCCTCAACCTTTTATGGCAACCACTCACCCAGTCACAAGGGGAGTTCTAATGCGTCTGTCCTTAAAGGCAACACCTCAGCCATAAGTTGATTCTTTAGTAAATGCTATCGAAGTTCATAGTTTTTAGCTCACCTGTCACAGTGACATGGTGAGCTTTTGTGATCGCTTTGCGTTCGTACGTCGCCCGTCCGTCCGTAAACTTTTACTTTAAACGACATCTCCTCATAAACCGCTAAGCCAATTTCATCCAAACTTCACAGGAATGTTCCTTCGGTAGCCATCTTTAACAAAGGAAAGAAAAAAACTTTAAAATATCTTCTTTTAGAAAACCAAAAGAGCTAGAGCTTAAATATTTGACATGAAACATCATCTAGTCAGTGTCTTCCAAGTTTGTTCAAATAAATGCCCTGGGGTCAAAATTGGCCCGCCCGGGGGGGGGGGGTCATTGATTGTCCTTAATTGTATATAGTTAAAACTTAAAAATCTTCTTTTGAAGAAACCCAATTGTTAGAGCTTAGATATTAAGCATGAAACATCTTCTAGTGAATGTCTAACAAGTGTGTTCAAATAAAAGCCCTGGGGTAAAAATTTGCCCCGCCCCGTGGGGTCATTGATTTTCCTAATTATATAAAACTTAAAAAAATCTTCTTTAAAAAAACGAAAATAGCTAGAGCTTAGATATTAAGCATGAAACATTTTCTCGTGGGTGTCTACCAAGTTTGTTCAAGTTAAAGCCCTGAGGTAAAAATTGGCCCCGCCCTAGGTGGTTCTTTGTGTTTCCCTTTATGTATATTATAAAGTAAAAAATGTCTTCATTAAAAAAAAAAGAGCTAGAGCTAAGAAATTTCGCATGAAACATCTTCTAATGGGTGTCTAACAAGTTTGTTCAAATAAGGGCACTGGGGTTAAAATTGGCTCCGCCCCGGAGGTCATTGATTGTCCTTATATGTGTACACTGCATAGTAAAAACTTAAAAAAAAATCTTAAAAAAAAAAACAAACCCCAAAGAGCTAGAGTTTAGATACTAAGCATTAAATATCTTCTTGTGAGTGTCTACCAAGTTTGTTCAAATAAAAGCCCCTGGTTTAAAATTGGCCTTGGCCAAGGGGCCTTTTACAGGTGATCGATTTTAGGGCTATCATGGCCCTATTGTTTTATTTGTTTTTGTTTTAGCAACCAATTATGAAGTTTGTCCTATGTCTTCTAGTTGTATTGCCTTTGGCTTTGAGCGTTCCGGTTCACTCCGATGACAAGCGATTCATCATTGGAATTTCAGGCATACTGTTTTTCTTGCGTTTAATAAATATTTATTTATAGATCGTAAGCTAAAACAATTGATAATTATTGCTTATTCTTTCAACTGCTTGAAACTGTTAAATATTATCCGTATTTCTCTCTTCCCAACAAAATAGAAAAAACAGAATCCCTAAAGAAAGCCCAACACGGCAAAAAAACAATATAATGCTTATTACATATTCCGGCATTTTGCTTTCCCATCAACGATAACAGTTAAATTGATGGTACAACTATCCATTCTCAATTCAATGAGTGTTGGTTGGTTCAAGAATCGGACACGTACTTTGTTGAATAAGCAAACAAGCTTAATAATAATGATCAACTACAAATATCAATAATTGCTTGCTTCCCATCTGTAATTGTTTAAGTTTACGAAGAAGGAAATTGAAAGAATAATTAACGATTTATTTACGAAGAGTTATATAATTACAATAATAAAGCCTTATTAAGTTAATGACGTTGACAAAATAAAAATGTAGCCTACCTATTATGTATACATGGAACTTTGAAAATAGTAGAAAAAGATTGCATTCTTTTTTATAGCTCATGAACTAGGACAAAAAATTCTCGATGTGCTCGGATCAGACACTTCGGAAGCTGCATAAGAGGCCGCCTGTCCAACAGCTTTAAATCTTTTAGTACCAGGATCCGGTTTGATCGGAGGAAGCCTGTGTGGTCCAGCTTGCCATTGGTAAGAAAGTGTTTTTTTTAATTGCTTTGCATTTTGTTTGATCTCGTTTAACCATTTATAACAAAATAAATATTTTAAATATTTACGAAAGCTTTTGTCTAACATCATATTACACCAAATATGTATATCATTACGCAGAACATTTTGTCTTTTACAATGTAGAAATCGATAAAAACTGTTGGTAGCCATTTGGTCAGATTTATTAATAAAGATGAGTAAGTGTTTCTTTATATCGTTTCAGGGTACAGAATCACCTTGGTTAAAAAGAAATTGATATTTTTTATAAGTGAATAGAACATTAAATATCGTTATCTACCTGTGTGTTTTATCAGTCGTTTTTCAGATGATTTCTGTGTTTATTTTTACAGTTTAAATGAGTTTTAAAGATTAATATGACACCATACTATCCCTTTAAGGTAACTGTTATGCCTAAACAATTATAGGAGACAAAAAGCTTACTTAAGAAGTAAAGTTCTTCGATGCTGGCCATAGCTAGCTTGCAAGAAAAAGTCTTTGCGAAACAAATTTTTTCAAGCACTGACATAGAGACTAATACTAAAAAATTGAGAAAATAAGAATCCCCAAAGAAAGTCCAAAACGGCAGTATTGAAAATGTTGCAGGCTCGGTTTGATGAACAATGAAATATTTGACACAATCTTTCGTTTTTGTCGAGCCCGCTTGCGTTGAGCTCGACTTGCGTTCATTGATTTTGTTTATCATACTTTAGCCACTTTTGGATTGCTCATTCCTTGAAGGATTACAAATTTATTTGATGTAAATATGTTCACCATGATGAGGTGGTGTGCCGTGGTTTTGCCGCGTTCAAAGGTGAAAGTCACAATTTGGGGGTTGGCCAAAAACACGTGTCCGGAGCGTAACTTCTACATGCGTGGCCGGATTTTAATACCATGTATAACATTGGACATGTGTTCTCAATAGTTAGGCGTAGTGTCGCGCGATAAATCCAGGTGTCTGTATTAAAGATAAAGATCTCACTTCAGGGTCAAAGGTCAAATAACAAATTCAAATATTCATGTGTGAGTATAACTTCTATATACATGGATGGATTTTAAGATAACTAAGAACAAATGTTCTCCATGGTAAGCCAAGTTGTCGTGAGCAAAATGAGAGTCAATGTCACAAGTGGTCACAGGTCAAATAAAAATTTCAAAATTAGATTGTCCGCACTTTATCGTGCTTATAATGCTTTGAAAAATTATGCTTAGTGGCCAGAGGACTTGCTTGCGTTGAGCTCGACATAGTGTCAAAATGTCAATATTAGTGTGTGCTTGAGTGCATCCAAACTTGTCCATGCCATAACTTCTTTGTTCGTGGAAGAAATTTCAAACAACATGAATTGAGTGTTTAAGGCACAATCGTTCATCATGAGACATCATGCAATGCACATGAACCAGGTCACCGGTCAAAGAAAGCCAATATGATACAATGTCAAGATTTTGCCTTGGGTATAAAGCGGATGTGTTGCTTTCATCTCAACTTTTAGCTTGATCAGAAGCCTATATGTTCAGGTTTGAATTAAATCAAGACGAGCGAGCTCGACAGTCTGCTTGTGGGGATGTCTTGTTATGCTCCCCGAAACATTTCGGGGGAGCATAATTATAGTCGCCGGGTTGTCCGTCCGTCAAGGTTATGTACGTCCCGAATTCGTGTCAGACCCATAACTTTAGTATTTGAAGTCGGATTTTAAAACTATTTCACAGAAATGATCACCATATTGAGACGATGTGTCGCGCGCAATATTTGCGTCGCTACCTTCAAGGTCAGCATGACCTTAAATCAAAATTGTTTCCGGCACATAACTTCGTTATTTGAAGTCGTTATTTGAAGTCGGTCCGTCCGTATGTACGTCCCGAATTCGTGTCAGGCCCATAACTTTAGTATTTGAAGTCGGATTTTACAACTATTTCACAGAAATGATCACCATAGTGGGACAAAATGTCGCGCGCAACATTTGGGTCGCTACATTTAAAGTCAGGTCACAGCCTGACCTTGCAGCAAAATGGTGTCCGGCCCTTTACTTCATTATTTGAAGTCGGATTTTACAATTATTTTATAGAAATGATCACCATATTGAGACAACGTGTCGGGCGTAACATTTGGGTCGCTACTTTGAAGGTCAAGGTCACAGCATAACCTTGAAGCAAAATCGTATCTGGCCCATAACTTTAGTATTTGAAGTCAGATTTTACATCTATTTCACAGACATGATCACCATATTGAGACGACGTGTCGCGCGAAACATTTGGGTCGCCACTTGAAGGTCAAGGTCACAGCATTACCTTGCAGCAAAATCGTGTCCGGCCCATTACTTTATTATTTACAACTTTTTCACAGACAAATGATCAACATATTGAGACGATGTGTCGGGCGCAAGTCGGTAGATAGATCTAATTGAGTAGAAGTGCAAAGAACAGTAGCTCTGCATTGTCTAAGTTTTGAATTATCACACTTTGAACTTTGTCTGGGACATAAATCTGAAACTACAAAAGATATACTTTTCTGTGTAAAAATCCTAGTCGGGGAGCATCGCCCAGTTCAACTGGCTCTTGTTTAATAAAGATCTTACTTCAAATATAACTAATATAACAATTTTTTTTTAATGTTTGAAAAGTAACACAGCATTTTCAGAATAGTCATTGAAACAATTGACATGTCAGTGGAATGATATGCTTATCACGTTCAACAAGCACTTCTAACATGCAATTTTGATATATTTGTTTCAACAGTTTTAAAAATCACAATAAAGTTTATTTATGTGACTAAACGTTTATTTTTAAGGTTCGAAGTTAGGGGCAGCTACTTAACTACCTCTTTACGTTAACCATTGTACCCTCAGTCTAAGTGTAGAATTTTATGCAATTCTATGGACCATTTGTGGTTCTTTTATTTAGTTAATTCTTTAAAAAGGCATTTTAAAAAAGAAATTGGCAAAGAAAATGAACAAAAAAACTCACTGTTCTAATTTTGAACAATCACGTATAAGATAATCAGGCAGCATATTGCTTAAAAAGCAGATAAATAAGACAAGAATAAAGATCAACAAGGCAAAGGCAAGGTCTTGCTTGTGAACTATCTGCATTTGAAGTAAGCAAAGTCCGCAATAATCAGGGAGAATACATTGAAAACGACACCGATCATCCAAATTTTGTTTTGCTTTGTTTTTTGTTTTGTTTATATATATAAGAAAGAAAGTAAGTCACGAGCGGGAAAATACACATAGAAAAAATCGCACGAAAAGTCGGCCCGCCACAGCTTAAACTCGAACCACGGGTCTCTGAATTGCCGGTCCAGTATAAGTAAAAAAGCTCGCCGATTTTCGTGCGATTTTTACATGTATAATTTCCCGACCTTCTGTCTTTCATATCATATTAATTCTTGGGCGGTAGTGGCCTTATAAAATAAGAAATGTGATTGCCATAAGATATTTATAATAAGAAAAAATATTAGTGACTGAGTCAACCAACTGCAGTAAAAGTAGTATTAATAGAAATAGCTCGCCGCTATGGTAACAAGAGGGCCATAATGGCTCTGAAATCGCTCACCTGTATATAGGCCCCCAGGGCGGGGCCAATTTTAACAAAAGGGCTTTTATTTGAACAAACTAAGTAGACATCTATGAGAAGATGTTTCATGATAAATATCTTAGCTCTAGCTTTTCGGGTTTTTTGACAGAATATGTTTTAAGTTTTTACTGTACACATATGGGGAAAAACAATGACCCCGTCCCCCTCAGACATGCCAATTTTGATTCCAGGGCTTTTATTTGAACAAACTTGGTTGACCTTCTCTTGAAAATGTTTCATGCTTAGTTTCTAAACTCTAGCTCTTGTGTTTTTTTTAAGAGGATTTTTTAAGCTTTTACTATAGACATATTAGGAAAATTAATGACCCCTTTGGCGGGGCCATTTTTAACCCCAGGACCCTGATTTGAACAAACTTGGTAGGCACCTATTAGAAGGTGTTTCATGTTAGATGTTTCATGCTAAATATCTTAGCTATAGCTCTTTGGGTTTTTTAAAAAAAGATTGTTTAAGTTTTAACTATTTACATAAAGTGAATAACAATGAACCCCTGAGGCGGGGCCAATTTTGACCGCAGGACTTAATTTGAACACAGTTGGTAGACATCCACTAGAAATTGTTTTATGCTAAATATCTAAGCTTTAACTATTTGGTTTTTTTTTAATAGAAGATTTTTTAAGTTTTTACTATATACAAACAAGAGTTACCAACGTCCCCCACCTCAGGGAAATTTTATATGAAGCATTAAATTGTTAAGATTGAGGTATGGACCTCAGGACTTTCAGTCCAAAATAACGATCAATGCTAGATCTGCACATTCAACAACAAATTTATTAAAAAAAATAAAATTAAACACGGAATTTAAAAACTTATCATGTTAAGCTTTGACCTCTAAGTGTGACATTGACATTGGAGGTAGGGGTGCAGGTGTTATGCATGACATATCGTCTTATTACTGTTACGATATGTGCCAAGTATTTTCAAAATCTTTTTGAACTATAAAAAAGTTATAGATCGGAGACAAAATTTACCCTATAACAGACTATGTTAATTTTTACCTCTAAATGTGACCTTGGAGGTAGGGACCCATACTTTGCGTCTGACATATCGTCTTATTAATGTGATCATTTGTGCAAAGTATTTTTAAAATCATTTGATCTATGAAAAAAGTTATGGACGGGACACAAAATATACCATTTAACAGATTCTGTTAACCTTTGACCTCTAAGTTTGACCTTGACATTTGAGATAGGGGTGCAGGTGTTGTCCTTAGACATATTGTCTTATTATTGTGACTATCTGTGCTAAGTTATTTATAAAATCCCTTGAACTATATCAGGCACATATATACCTTTTGACAGACTATGTTAATTTTTGACCTCTAAGTGTGACCTTCAACTTGAAGGTAAGGATGCAGGTGTTGCGCATGACACATTGTCTTATTATAGTGACTATTTGTGCCAAGTATTTAATCTATGAAAAAGTTAAGGACCGGACACAAAATATACCCTGTAACAAACTATGTTAATCTTTAACCTCCAAGTGTGACTTTGACCTAAGAGATAGGTGTCTGGTTGTTGCACGTGACACATTGTCTCATTATTTTGAAAAATTGTGGCAAGTATTTACAAAATCCCTTCAAAGATAAGAATGTTATGGACCGGACACGACATATACCCTCAAACAGACAATGTTGACCTTGAATGAGCAAATGCGACCTTGACCTTGGACGAAGGGGTCTGGTTGTTGCGCATGACACGTCGTCTTATTAT